GAGAGAAGATGAGAAAAAAGAAGATTCCCTGTGGGTCACAGGAGCTGCCTAGGAAGAGAACTGGGCCTTCAATGAAAGGTGGGGTTGCTTAGCGGGAGGGGGTGCCTTGGGCAGGGTCAGGGAGCGAGGTGCATCCCAGGACAATGAAACAGCGAGGAGAACTTGGGGCAGGTGGCCTTAGTGATCAGCCAGCACAGGGGTGCTGTGGAGCTCCCAGGAAGAAAAGGAGCTGGATTTTGGAGATTAGAATCCAGCATGGAAGGTTGGGCGTTGTCCCGGAGAGAGTGGAGAGCCATGAGAGGTCCCACCCTTTAAAAGAGGGGAGCCCTAAAGCAAGTGGTGAACTAAGAAGGAAATCCAGGTTCAGCACATTAATGGATCAGGCAAAGAGAACATTCAGAGTCTGTGGCAAGACCCCAGGTTGGGGCAATGAGAGCTTGAACCTGGGTGGTAGCAGTGGGAACAGAGAGGAAAGGGGAAGTCTGAGAGATGTGCAGCCTGCTGGGCTAGGCTCAGTGATGGTGACACACTCAAAACAAAGCATGGCACCGGGCGCAGTGGCTCATACCCATAATCCCAGCACTTTGGGAGGTCGAGGCAGGTGGATCACGAGGTCAGGAGTTCGAGACCAGCCTGGCTAATACGGTGAAACCCCATCTCTACTAAAACTACAAAAATTAGAAGGCGTGGTGGCGCGTGCCTATAGTCCCAGCTACTCAATAGGCTGAGGCAGAAGAATCACTTGAACCCAGGAGGCAAGGGTTGCAGTAAGCGGAGATCGCGCCACTGCACTCCAGCCTGGGCAACAGAGTGAGACTCCATCTTAAAAAAAATAATAAAATAAAAATAAAAGTGTGGGATGGGGAGGTTGCACCGACCGCCAAGGCTTCACACCAGGGGAACGTCATCGGGGAAAATGGGAAGCAGAGAAGATGGAAGTCTTGGGCCGGAGGAAGGTGCTAGGTGTGTCACATCTCTACCGAGAGCAGGACCCGAGCCTGGGAGGCACCTACTCTGTGTTCCATCTGAGACCCTCAGGTGTGATGAGGAGGGGGCATAGCTGTGAGCTCCTGGAGGGGTGACCAGGCCTGTTCCCCTGCTCCTCACCAGACAGCACAGTGCCTGCCTCACTGCAGGGTTCAGTCAGCGTGTGTGGAAGAAACAGGTTCCCAGAAGCTCACTGTCTACTGAAGGTACTACCCAGGAGGCTGCAGAAAATGACCTTGGGTTCACTCGCATTTCACTTCTTTAGAGTAGAAAAGAAAATGAGGAAAATAAAGCAAGTAGAAGCCAGGCACGGTGGCTCATGCCTGTGATCCCAGCACTTTGGGAGTCCGAGGTGGGAGGATCACTTGAGGTCAGAAGTTCAAGACCAGCCAACATGGCCAACATGGTGAAACCCTGTCTCCACTAAAAATACAAAAATTAGCTGGGCATGGTGGTGCACACCTGTAACCCCAGCTACTCAGGAGGCTGAGGCAGGAGAATCGCTTGAACCCGGGAGGCGGAGGTTGCAGTGAGCCAAGATTGCCCCACTGAACTCCAACTTGGGCGACAGAGTGAGACTCAGTCTCAAAAGAAAATAAAGAGTTGGTGGGTGAGGAGTATTCTTCTGGCAATAACTTACAGCCATGGCTCAAAAGCTGTGCTCTGAGGGGCTCTTGAGCCCAAATGAGAGGCCTCAAGATCTGTCAGATGGATGAAAAAAAAGTGGGCTCCATCCCTCCATCTCCATCTTCATCCATGGCACCTCAACTTTTATCCACTCTAGATACTCAGTAACAGTTTAAAATTCATTAAAAAAAAAAACTCATTGGTTTAAAAGAGAAAAGTAATTATAGTGACTTAAATATAATGTGCAAAAATTAAAATTAGACTGAAAAGGGAAATTGTCAGAGTACTGTGTCCCATCCCCAAAAATAATAGTTTGTAAATCATGTCCTTTGGGTGGATTTTTCCTGTGAACTCATCTGCCCTAGAAACAGTCTTTCCATAGAAAAGCTAGTGGATCCAAGCAGACAGAATGTAACAGGCTCTAGGAAGGATTTTTGTTTTTTTTTTTTTTTTAGACCAAGTCTCACTCCGTCACCCAGGCTGGAGTGCAGTGGGGCGATCTTGGCTCACTGCAACCTGTGGGATTCTACACCTCCAAGCCTGCTCAGATGGCATCGGGCGATGTTCCTCCTCGAAAGGCCCTGTCCTACTCAGCTCCATCCCGTCAGGTTCCTTTCTTGCAGACCCCAGGTCTTATTCCAGGGATCTTGTGCCTGCTGCCACCCCTGACTCTGAGACACCCACCAAAAGGGTCTGTGGCCACTCAGAGTCCACCTCCACGGCCTGCTGTAACTGGGCCCCCCTCCCAGCGTTGCCTTCCTTCAGAGTCTGGTTTCCATGGTGATGGCCCCCTCCTCTCCCTGGGGGCTCCAGCCAGTCCACAACTTACCCTTGGCCCTCAGATGCTTCCTGCACCCCACCTCCCCGGGGGCCCTCACCCAGTACCTCCCACACCTTCCTCCAAGAGGATGCGGGATGGAGAGAGACCGGGACTGTTACCCATTGTGGGTGCTTCCTAATAATGGACACCTCAGAGGGCTCGGGCACTGCTTCATTTAAGGCGCTCTCATTATAACCCCCTCCGCGTCCAGCTGACAACCTGATAATTCTCTCTGATAGCACAATCTTCGGCAGTCACTGCGGCTGTCTTGACTCTGTCCTTCTTGCAAGAAAGATTTTGAGATAAAAGGATGAGCTGTGAAATCATCATTAGAGTAAAAGGAGCCTAGAGAAGGAGCCCTTTCCGCCCACGCCCTCCCTCTCCATGCTTCCCCTCACGCTCCTCCCCTGCTTCCTTCTCTTCCTCTCCCTCACCTTTTCTCTCCCACATCCTCACTTCACTCCTCTGCTTTCTCTCCAGTTCCTCCCTCCTCTCCTCTTCTCCTCTCTCATCTCTTCCCTCCTTTTCTACCGTTTTGGTGCCAGAAACAGTCTAATTACAACAGAGAGCTTGAAGAGACAGAGAGGAAAAAAAAAAAACCCTACCATACATAGCTGATTAAAATGTCCTATGAAATCTAATTTGTAAAGCTCAAATCAGAACAAAAAGTGTTACTCCCACAATTCAAGGCCAATTGGATTTTTAATGAGACTCCTCAGAGACCCTGCCAAGCTCTCATCAGGTTGTGAACTCGGCCACCTTCCTGCCTGCCCCCAGCTCTCCACCGTGAAACTCACCCCTCCTTCTGGGGAGCCTCCACCCCAAGCTCTGCTGCCATCCAGGCTCCCCTGGGTTGATACACACCAAGCGTCCCCCTCTTGGGGTCATCTGTTGCTGAGAGCTCAGTCCTAGGTGTGGCCCAAGCCTGGGGCTTTTTGTCCCCAAGATGGGCAGTAGCCAGTGTCCAGGACCTCTGTGGCTGCCCCTGACTCTCCCAGGTCCGGGGAGGAGAGGCCACAGCATCAGCAGCTGGCGCGCCAGGTTCCATTTTGCCTCAATCAGGTCTGGGTCTGAAGAGCAGGAGGTAGGATAAAGGAAAAAGGGAGGGCTTGGAATGCAGATGGGCCCCTGCTGAAACCCCCACTCTACCACTCATTAGCTGTGTGACCTTGGGCAGGTTACTGTGCCTCTCTGATCCTGGTTTCTTTGTTGTAAAATGGGGCTATTTCTGCTCTGAAGTATAATTAAGTGGATCACAGGAGAAGGGGTTGTGTGAAGCACTGGTCGTATTGTGGGCCAGAGGCTCAGTGAATGTCAGCGTCCCATATGTCCATTCAACTGTGGACTCCCAGGAGACACAGATCACATCACACCTCCTCATCAGCAACTCCCTCCAAGGCCAGGCATGAGGATCTGCACATAGTGTATGTAGCTCAGTAGAAGACAGCACGGTCTTTGGAGCCAGAAAGACTTGGATTCACAGCACCCCCCACCCCCACTCCCACTAGACAGTTCCCTGGGCAATTCAGTTAACCCTGAGCCTCCGTTTCCTAAAGCCCTGTAAAATGGGGTTGACAATGCCCCATACGAGTGTTGCCACAGTGATAACTAGAGTCAGGGCATGTGCTGTATTTGGTGAGCAATTCACAAGCACAACTCCCGTTACTATTTTTCACCTCCCTGTGCCTCATTCCCCCATCTGGAAAATGGGGATAAAAATGGTGCTTACTGTTTTTAGGTTGTTATGAGGATGAAAATATTAATGAACTAATATTTTAAAGCCTCAAAATAGAGCATGGCATCTTAAAAGCATTGTGGGTGGGTTTGTTTAATAAAATACTGTCAACTGACTCTCTTCGATGGTTCTGGCCATCTCATTTTGACGTGGCATGGTGTTCCTAATGATTTTTTCCCAAGTGATTGTGAGGCTGGAGTAAGGTCTGCTGCGGAAAAGAAACGGACAGGGAGGACATGGTGGGACAGCACACCTCCTCAGCACGCCTCCTGCCACACTGCACCATCACCCCCCCCCCGAACTTGGCCCTCAGCCCACCCCAGGAGCCAATGAAACAACAAAATGATTTCCTGAATTCTCAGGTTTAACCAAAGCCACACCACCCTCCATCGCCCACCTTCTTAACACACAGCCACCACAGAATGCTTCTAGCTAGAGGTCTCTCTCTCTCTCCTGTTTCTGCCCTGTGGAACTGTGTGCCCAGCACATGGCATTAAGTAGGAACTCACCAATGCATGGGAAGTGGCACGTCCCAACGGTGGAAGGAGATGGCCCATAGGGAGCTGGGGTGTGGCTAGACCAATCCATGTGTTAGGGACTCATGGGCAGAGGGGCCGGAGCTGGGAGCCAGCTCCTCACAGGAGGGAATAGAGCTGGGGCTGAGACCAGTTAGGAAGTTCTACCAGACCCCCAGCAGAAAAGCCAGGTGATTCAGGAGGCTCAGTCTCCTGGGCCAGCCCTGCTCTGCTGCTCTACTTCCATAGCTGGAGGGGAGCCTTCTCACCCCTGCAGCCAGCAGGTAACTGACCGTTGTGTTTGTCTCCTTCCCAGGTCAAGTCTATTCCTTCAGCCAGCAGCCCCAGGACCAAGTGGTGGTGTCGGGACAGCCAGTGACGCTACTGTGCGCCATCCCTGAATACGATGGCTTCGTTCTGTGGATCAAGGACGGCTTGGCTCTGGGTGTGGGCAGGGACCTCTCAAGTGAGTACCTCCAGACCTCCTGGGGCGGGCCTGGGGCTGTCACTCCCTTACTAACCCATCCGCCTTCCTAGGGAGCACCCATCTTCCCAGGCATCTGGGTATCAAATCTCCAGCTTTCACTGCAACTCCTCAGGCAGAATGAGGTTAGACAAGCACTGCACCCAGCATCCCTAGACTCTGAGGGCCTCGGATATGCATAATGAACCATGAGCAAACCCTCAGTCTAGCGGTGGGTCCTAACCTAACTCGACAATGCCCTCGAGCATCTACTCCAAAGTCAAACATGATTCATGTAAAGTCCAGTTTCCAGAAATCAAGTGTTCCTGTGTCTTGGCCCAAGATGCACCCCCGCATTTATTAAGGCATGATTATTAAGAAAATACAAGTCACAACCTGGTTCTTCCAGGCTTCTCACCCATTAAAGGGAACCAAGTAAACTGAAAATTCACAAAGACACCTGGTTGATCTTAGGAGCCATCACGAGATGGGAAGAAAAGACAGGAAGTATTAAAAATAAATTTCAAACCATGTTCGGCTTGGGCAGGCTGGTGTTCAGCAAAGCTACCCTGGGGCAGGCAGTGAGGGTTCCGGTGGTTGTTGATGGCTGACACGTGAACTCACTGGCCAGTGCCGACAACAGATCATTTGTTAACTATTGTGAATAGCGACCCAGTAAGACTATACAGATGCTTTTCCAATCCATCCTCTTCCCTGGAGGAAAAAAACAATGGCTCCTGCCCCTGGTCACACACCCTTCAGCTATCATTATTCTGTCCTGCAGGTAGGCAGTGGTTGTTTGTTAGGCTTGGCATACACAGTAAAATTCAGAAGGAGTGACCCCTGGGTGTCATTCCCCTGTGATTTGGGAAGAGCTGAGGGTGGAGGAGGAGAGAAAAATATTATTCAACTGAGAAGAAACTTTGCGTCTCGCGTGGTGTACGGCTGCAGGAAAATAAAAATCGAAGTGTACTCAGGAACATGATGGCTGGGAAATTAATATTTTAAAATGTGAGTTATGTCTTGCCAAAAATGTATATTGAAACATTATAGCAATGGTCAATAGCAGGCACAAGGTTTGAATGCTGCAGCCCAGCTGAGCATGGATAAAATACACAAAAATATCTCCAAAATATACTGTGCTGCCATAAAGTTTAACTGTTATGGGAACCAGTCAATTTCAGAGACTCCGAACGCCTTTACCCTAGAGAAACTCGGGGAGTGATACAACCTTCCCAAACTAGAATAGTTGGTGCACTGGATGGCTCTGAGTTGGCGTGAGCGCTGCCGCTAGTTAAGGAGGTTGTCTGAGGTCGCTGTCAGTGGGTCTCCAACTTCCGTCAGGGACTGGGGTCTTGTTGGGTCAGTGGCCAAGAGAAGGCTCAGGTCAGCAGGGATGGTGCAGAGGGTGGTCATCCCAGCATGGATAACTGACCCTCTAGCATCCACTGGCATGAATGGCTTTCTGGGATCCAGGACTGGTACCTGCTCAGGGCTGCAGGACAACGGCCTCTGACTAACTGGGGCCTGTGTCCTCTGCAGCTTGACTTGGTTTGCCTCTCCGTACAGAGCCAACGACCTTAAACTCCTGATAAAATACTTGCCCTGTATGTTATCACTTGTCCCAAAAACAGCATCATGGCAATCATGACAGATACTTACATGCTCAATTAACTCTGCTCGCTTGCCTGATGTGGAAACAGGCAGGACAGCCCTCAACTCAATTCAGCAAGTACTTGTAGAGCACTTAACACTGCGAAAGCTCTCTTACAGGGAAACTGAGGCCCAGGGTTGTGGGATTTCAGCCTGCTACATCTCTGTCCTCTCCCACTGTAACCGTGTGGCCCCCCCGAATCTCCCAGAAATGACACCCTCCCTGAAGACCTAAATGTTTTTCTAGTCACTGAAGCTGGAAAAAACAGTCAAAGAAAATGATTTATAAACGCACTTCCTCATATTGATAGAACATTTTTCTTCTAAGAAGCTCAAGTACTTCACAGACATTATCTCATAAATCTACAGTGATCCGGAGGGAGAAAAGAAGGATTTTCCCGTTTGTTGGACAGGTAAACAAAGTCACAACTGAGAAAGAAATTGACTCAACTCTATAACCAATCCCAGTGCATGAGACCTGCCTGTTAAACCCAAAGGGCCCAGATACGCTGTATGCTCTCCCTTCTAAAGATGAAGACCTGTGTGGCCACCTGACCTCATGACTTACCTTTCTCTTCATTTAAATTGGCATTTATAGACCACTTACAATGTGCCAGGCACTTTACATAGATTATCCTATTTAACCTTCACCATAACCTTATAAGGTACTGATATTGTCCCCATAAAATGGGGACTGGCACATAGTAAGTAGTCTATGAGGCACAAAGAAGTTAAAGTAACTCACCCAAGACAGCAGAGCTAGGAAGTGATCCAGCTGGCACTGGAACCCAGGCAACTCGACTGCAGAACCCAGACTCTAAGTCATTTTGCTTCCTTTGGGAGTAGCAAGAGAGAGTAATGATACTGTGGAAGGAGCTAGAACTTTCTCAGAATCCATGCTTCCGAGTCTGTTTTTCAAAGATGCTGCCAGTCCTTGGGATAGCATCACAGCTCGCTGCCTAATTAGGCAAATACAAACAAACCCATCACTGATGTTTTCAGCAGCTCGTGAGAGCAAAATCCCGCTGTTGATAGCTTGCAAGACAACAGAAACAGAAGCTCCAGCCAAAATGCCTGCAGGAGACCAGAGACTAACCACAGGATAGTGGGATCCAGAGGCTGGGCTGGAGGGGCTGGGGGTGGCCAGGCAGCTACAACGAAGGCAGCAGCAGCAGGGAGAGGATAGGGCTAGAACCCATTTCCAGCCCCTCTCCTGGCCCTCAGAGGAAGACAGCTTAACTCACCTGGGCTCCTTCCCAAAGCCCAGCAGAAGGCAGGAAGTGTGGGCAAGAGGAGAGGCCGTGCTCTCAGGGGTGCAGCCGAGGCCTGCACAGCGGGGGATGACAGGGCCATTTTATTGCATGATGAGGATGGGAGCCATGAAAACATGAGTCTGAAGGGCCCTGCCGCACAGGAAGCACTCCAGAGCATGCCTGGCAGAGGATCATCACGGCTACCTCCCCCGACCAGGAACGAGTGCTGGTGGCCCCTTGTCCAGCCCACCCCCAGGGAGACCTGCCCCACCTCCAGAAGACGCTTCACTTATGATGGTGAGAGGAGCCTTCAAGCTCATCTAGCCTGATCTTTCACCTTGTGTAGAAATCACCTCTGCAACATTCCTGAGAGGCGATCATCCAACCTCTGCTTGAATACAGCCAGTGATGGGGACCTCACTACCGTCTCTGGCAGCCCAGATCCTTGTTGGATACCTCAAATACTTGAGAATATTCTAATGTATCCCGCCCCCCACCACATGTTAATTCTGCCTGTTGGTGCTAGTGTTGCCCTTGGAAGCTCAGGAACACATCTAACCCACACGAGAGACTGTTTGAAATACTTGAGGCAAGCTCTTGCAGGTCTCCCTGTCTGTCTTTGTTTCTGTCTCTCACTAGCTGAAGCCCTCATCTTCTCTTTAAAAGGCTGAATGTGTCCCGTCTCATCCTCCCACAGCACCCGTCTGAGAACGCTCCCTGTGCTCGTGAGGGTCCTTCAAAAGCAGGAGCGGCCTAGGGCTGCCAGAGGGGAGTGGAAGCTGAGGGCAGCCTCTGAGGAGAGAAGGGAAGGAGGACAGAGATGAAGAATGGCGGGGATTGGGATGCAGTTGTAAATCCACACAGTGAGGGACTCAGGGGAGGGCAGAGCTGGGTGAGGAGATGGATGGAAAGTGGATCCTACTGGGAGAAAGTAGGGAGGTTTGGGTCCTGAGACCCGGGAAAAAGAGGATCTGCCCAAAGTGGCCAGCCACGACTTCAGTCGGCATTTATTTTCAACCCTACACAGCAGTAGGAGCGCTGATTAATGATTTATATTCTCAAACTTTTATTTCTCTCTTATTCATTGCCCATGGTACAAGGGGCCCCCAATTCTGAAGTGTCCTGAGCACTTAAGTGCGTCACCAGGCCCTGGGGTTTGTGGCGGGACATGAGGAATGATGAGACGGGGCATGAGGAATGATGAGACGGGGCCACTGTGGCTCCAAGTGACCCGAGGTTCCTAGACACTGGGAGGGTGGGCCTAGATTTCTACTTCCTGTCCGTCCTGAAACGAAACTTTTTGCAAAGTCACTCTTGATCCTTTTCTAAATATTTCTCTTTTTCCTTCCTTCTCTCTCTGACTGTCTTCTCTCTGTAATTCTCAGCCTGGGTCTCTCTGTCTGTCTCTCTCTCTCTCCACTCTATCTTATCAAAATGCATGTCTGCTCGGTAGACCACAGTGCTGAGCCCACCACTTTCCAGAATAATAACCCAGCGCTGTCTGTCCACACTTAGCGTTTCCATCTCTTCTCCCTCTTTCCTCTCTAACAGTGGCTCCTCCGATTTTCCTGAACTTGAAACCAACAAGACCCTTACATGGCCGGGCATGGTGGCTCATGCCTATAATCCTAGAACTTTGGGAGGTTGAGGAGGGAGAACTGCCTAAGTCCAGGAGTTCAAGACCAGCCAGGGTGACATAGTGAGATCCCATCTCTACAAAAGATTAAAAAAAAAAAAAATTAGCCAACGTGGTGGTGCATGCCTGTAGTCCCAGTTACTTGGGAGGCTGAGGTGGGAGGATCACTTGAGTCTGGGAGGTGGAGGCTGCAGAGAGCTATGATCCTGCCACTATACTTCAACCTGAGTGACACAGCAAGACCCTGTTTCAAAAACAAACAAAATGCCCTTATACACACACACACACAGAGAGAGAGAGAGAGAGAGAGCGCCAATGCCTTGGGAAAGCTCTTGCATTTGTGCTCCTTGAACTGAGATCAGAGCCCTGAGCAATCACCTGCTCTGCCAGCCTTATAGAATGGCCCCTGCTTGGGTCCCCCACTCTGTGCCTCTTTGTCATGGGAGTCCCCTCCACCCCGCCCCAGCTCCCTGACCTGCCTGTTGTCTCCACAGGTTACCCACAGTACCTGGTGGTGGGGAACCACCTGTCGGGGGAGCACCACCTGAAGATCCTGCGGGCCGAGCTGCAAGATGATGCGGTGTACGAGTGTCAGGCCATCCAGGCCGCCATCCGCTCCCGCCCCGCACGCCTCACGGTCCTGGGTAAGAACCATCTGCACACGGGGCAGGGACACTACGTGAAGCACCAAGGGCTCAGCTCCAAGAGGGTATTTTTTTGGTCAGACATGGAGAGACTCCCCTCTGGGGATCATCCCACAGGGCTCCAGACACTGCTGCTTCCACAAGGTCCATGCCCACCTTCCCACCCAAACGGGACAGGCGACGGCTCTTTCCCTAGGAAACCAGACAGCCAGTGCCAGCGGACTCAGTCCAACTCCAGTGTGTTTGATGGTACCTTAGGCAGCTAATTAGGGCTCCTACGTGCTTATTTATTCCATCAGAAAGCATGCTTTGCACACGTTATCTAGGCCAGGCTCCTTGCCAGGAAGAATGTGGCACAGGCCGTGGGTCCCTTCTTTCTGCACTGACCCCCACTCCGGTGCTAACAAAGCCCTATGTGTCCACCTTCTCTGTAGAATCAGCGCGAGAGTCTCCCCATGATTCTAGTATCCATGTGGACACCAGTGACCTCCGTGACTTCTCCACCCCTCACTGCTCCCTGGGAATCCTGGCTGACCAGGCCTTCCTAGGAAAATTCATCTCAGGTCCTTATTCCAAATCCTACTTTTCCCCTTGGTCTTTCTTCATCTTATGTTCCCAGGAGCCCAGCGTTCCTGGATCATCCTACCTGAAGGCAGGGGATTGGGCTCAGTGACCTCTTCAACCACCTAGTTCTGATTTAGAGGTCAGTCCTGGGAGTCTCCCTCCTCTGGCCAAAGGTTACTGAGGATCGAGGCTGCTGAGAACCAGGCCTTGCACGTAAGTCATGAGAGCTCACATTTGCCAAGCAGTTCACCGTAGCTCTCCAGGCTCTTTCACGCACTTGACCTCCACTGTTCCTGACGCTACTCGGTGGGACAGGGACTGTTACCCCAGGTGAGAAACCAAGGCCCACAGATGCAAAGGGCTTGGCCCATGGGCTCTTGGCCAGGGCTCCAGGGCTTCACCTCGCTGCCCCCTTACATGAGAGTCTGTGCCAGGCACGCATACAGGAGGGAAGTGGGAAAGCCCGGGCCCACCCCTTAGCAGCTGTTGTGAAGGTTCAACAACAGGGTCAGCAGCTGGGGTGCTGCCTCCTCTCCTGGCAGCTAAAGCACGCGGCTGCTCAGAGATGAAATATTTAAAAGCATGTCAGGTTATCTTCAGATCTACACGGCCAAAGACACCAGGGCAGATTATTCCAAGCAGTGCAGCAGACAGGCCCTGGAGGACCACTTACCAAGCTCGGAGCTTGGCTTCTTGAGACACAGGGGAAGAACTTGGGGCCAGCCTCAGAAACCTTCTGCAACCTTTGAAATCTCCCCTGGCCCGCGATGAAAGGAATGAGAAAATCAACCTGTTCCGGCGGGGGTAAATAAGTTGGGATTCCATGGCCAGGAAGCGGGCCTTCTGAGGAGTAATTGGGGTATTAAAGGCAGCAGCGCCGTTCTCATTTCTCCCAAGATGGTGACTAAAATGAGAATGAGTCTGCCATGTGGTATGGGGGTTGTGGGAGGAGAGGAGGAAGAATTAGGGCCTCATATTGTTTCTGATTTTGAGGGTTGCAAAATGCCAGAACAGATTTGCTAAGTTGTAGGCTCCTCATCTTCAGAGATGGTTCAGCCCCTCCCTCCTCAGAAGAATCTGCCTCTACGGACTCATACACCTTCTAGAGGGGCCAGAGGATGCTGGAACCACAGGAACGTGAGCATTGTCCACTCCTCTGACTTCACAGGGACCAAAAATAGATGGAGCCACATCTCATCCTTAAGGCTGTATCGACTTCCCCAGTCCTGACGTGATCACTACACGTCCTTTCCTCTCTGCTCTATGTTAGGTAACAAAGTCCAAGGTATTAAAAGTCCAGATTATTTCAAATGTTTTACAGATGAGAGAATGGAAACTCAGAAAGGCAAAGGCACTCACAAGAGGTGACACAGCTTAATTAACCTTCAAAATCAACTCCAGATTTTTCAGCTCCAAGCTCTTTGCCTAGCCTTCTGTTCCCAGATGTCAGCAGCGCCTCATCTGTCTGGCTGGTGAGGGGCCAGGTTTCTCAAAGCAGGGCCTCAGGATCCAATCTGAACAGACCCGATTTTGTCTTAGGTCATGTCTAAAAGGCATTCGCTCCCCTTTCCTCTCCAGTGGCATGGCCTGACACCGCCCTCTGGGCACAGAGCTGGGTTTATGTGGGGGAGATGTTTTATTCAAGTCTGGAGATCAGCCGAAGGAGGGCAGAGGAAGTTTCCATGGTGCCCCAGCAGGGTCCCCTCCATGAAATTCCTGAGAGCCAGAAAGGGAGCCCGAGCCAGCATCTTGTCCATCAGCCTTTCAGGCAGCTCCACAAAAACCATTCATCCTGAACGAACTAAAACCCCAGGCAAGACAGTGCTTCCCAGCACTCTGCCTGTGGTCCTCCCTGACTCCCTGGGACACTCCCAGGTCCCCACCCCAGCTGGTCTTGTAGGGCTCCGCCTGGCTGAGTGTCCTGGGGTATAGCGCCCCACCTACTGCTCTGCAAGGAGGCCCCCAATGCAGCAGTCGACCCAGCCCGCTGGAAAGGGACCCCTGGTCTGGGGAAGGTAGATGGACAGAGCGGCTGTTCCCACAGATGGGGGAGAGGTGTTTCTGCCCCTTGGTCCAGCCACGTTCCCTACCAAGACCCCATCTGCTTTGCTGTGACATCTCAGCCCGGGAAAATGTCCCAGCCAGTTCCCCAAGGGGGGCTGCTTTCCCTGTGTTCCAGGAATGAGAGAGCTTCCTAATTTAGTCTGTATTTGCCTGAGATAGATTTTTAATTAAATAAAGTAAGAGCCTGATTAGAACCTGCGGAAGATGCGAGAGCAGAATCAGATGGTATTCCGGCAAAATTGCAAAGCAAACACTTTGGCTAGAACAGAGGGAGGCCCCCGGGGGTCTTCCATCAAAGTACCAAGTGAGGAGGGCAAATACGAGAGATTATATAGCCAACAGATGTGCATTGTTAAAATATGCATCTGCCGGCCGCGTGCTCAGATGAAGCCAGAGGGCCAGCTCGCAGAGCCGCCGGGCCCTAGGGAGGGCAGGGGACTCGGCCTGGCAGCCAAGCCTAGAGTCACAGACACATTAATTAGCGTTGTGTTTCCAGCTCTCAGATGCAATCAGGCAAGGAGCAACTTCGGATCTGAGCATTTGCTACCTCGGGAGGCAGAGGGAGGGAGCTAGGAAATGAGAAGAGAAAGACGGGGGAAGGCGTTGAGTTTGCAAAGCTGAGAGAGGCAAAGACTGGGGATTTTAGGTCAGGTCAATCAACGGTCAGGCTGCATGACCTCTGCGGCCCAGCCAGCTGCCAAGGACTCTGCCTTGACTCAGCTCGGGTCAAGACAGGCGTCTTTCCACCTGCAGAACATCTGGAGAATCACGGCGCCACGGAAACAGCATTAGACTTAGAGGCAGTGGTCTTGGTTCTACCAGTATCCAGCTGTGTGACGGTGGCCCTTGTTTCTCAACCTGGGTCTCAGTTTCCTCATCTGTAGAATGAGAGGTGGTGGTAAATAAGATGATCACTGAGAGCTATCTCGCTCCCAAAAGGCCATGACTTCCACTGTAAGGGGTCCAACAGGCTGTACCAACTATTTCAGGAAACTGGGCCAGCCCTCCCTGGAACCGAGACCGGCACGGTAACTAAGGCATAGAAGGAAACTGATTACGGTGGTTTAAACAGCATCCCACTTCAAGGCTGGGAGATGGGACCTCTCCAAGTCCTGTTCAGCCCTGGGGTCCTGGCCCTGGCTGTGGACCTCAACCCTAGTCCTCCCTGCAAAGGACACCCCCCACCCCACCCCACTGCCCCTCTGTAGCCAGCTTCCACATAGACCTAGCCCTCTCCAAAGACTCAGCTTGGTTGGGCATCAGAGGACCCCGGTGCACCTGCGCAGAGAGAGCTGTGATGGGGTAGGAAGAGCCCTGGGCCAGGAAGTAGGATATGCTCTTGCTGTTCACTGACTGTGTGACCTTGGGCAAGGTCCTTAAGGCTGGAACTGGGCCTCTTTGGCTCAAGCCTCTATAACAAGCCCTTACCACAGAGCAGAATTTTTTGAATGAATGAATGAATGAATGAATGAAGTTTCTGGTTCTTCATCTATAAGATAGAGGGTTAAAAATACCAAAGTCATAGAATTGCTGTAAGCATTAAACACTCTGTCTCTCTCTTTCTCTCAATCACTAACAGTGAAGTGTCATACACTTTTTTGTTTGTTTTTTTGTCTTTTGAGATGGAATCTGGCTCTCTCACCCAGGCTGGAGTGCAGTGGCACATTCTCAGCTCACCGCAACCTCCGCCTCCTGGGGTCTCCTGCTCCAGCCTCCCGAGTAGCTGGGATTACAGGCGTGTGTCACCACACCTGGCTAATTTTTGCATTTTTAGCCATGTTGCCCAGGCTGGTCTTGAACACCTGACCTCAAGTGATCCACCCGTCTTGGCCTCCCAAAGTTCTGGGATTATAGGCGTGAGCCACCACGCCTGTATTTTAAAGTTGTGCATACACACATATACACACAGACGGCTCCTTTTTCTACCTGCAGGAATCCCAGGGTTGAAAAATATGGAAATTGTCCCAGGGCCAGAGTTGTAAGGGTGGCATTACACTTGGGAAGCAAGGTGTTGGGACATCCCAGGCAGGCAGCAAATGGGTACCAAGGATTCGATCAACAAATGTTTACTGAGTACCTGTTATATGCCAAGCACTAGTCTAGACACGTGGGATTCATCAGGAAACGAAAGAGAAAACCATCCTTGCCTTGGTGGAGCTTGCATTCTGGCAGAGAGCAGGCGGTCGATAAGTGATGCACAGATTAAACCGTAAATTGCATTACTGTGCCGGATGCGAGGTGGTAATAAATGCTATGGAAAGGAAAAAGTGGAGCACGATGGGGGGATCAGAAGTGGGAGGAGGGGGTGCTGGCATCAGATTAATTATTAAGAGAGCCATTTTTCCCAGTCTCCCTCCCCATTTCCCTCTTCT